GCTGCGCATAATGAGGATACTGATTTGGGTGCGATGTGGATATCGAAGCGACTTAACTGCCTGACGATTACTGCCAATTTTCCCTGCATAGGAGGTGTGGAAGTGGCATCCAGGTTCCACGACCAGTTGGACAGAGGATCATCCCGGGTGACGGTTGTGGCTGCCTGACAATAGAAAATAGACCGTAGGCTGCTTTGACAAAGGACAGCCGGCCCAACTGTCCGAACCGTCAGCAAACAAACAAACTCATTCTGATGGACACAACATGATTTATTATCTTTATTTCTTTGTTGGTAATACTTTTAGATTATAAATAATTGATTTAACGTGAAAAAATTGACGGCGTTGGTGGGACTCGAACCCGCGACAAAAGTACAGCCAACGCTCTAACCACCTGAAATCTGCGGATCCGACCGGCTAATTACATTTTTATCAAGTTGCCCGACCAGCCAGCTGCAAAATATGGAACCCCCCTAATTTCGATGTAGTAAAATGACCGTACAGGCAGAAGCTTCTAGGCAATCACTATAGCATTCTCACCACATGACTACCAGGGTCATTTAATTGGTTGGTCTCTTTTTTATTTAGTAGTGAGTTTTGGCAGATTTGAATGACTCACTTGATCCAATTGTAAAAAGCTCGGCGGCTTCGGTGGCATCCGAACCCACGCCAGCAAGGGAAGGCTTAAGTACAACCAACTGAGCTACGAGGCCCTCACCGGAAGCCGTGAGTTTAATCACGACTGAGCCAATTAACCCGCCCGGCATATTGTATCGTGGTCAATTTACACGTCCATCCTACTGCGACATATGGAATACACCCAAATCCGATACAGTAAGCTGACTGTCCAAGCAGGATTTCCTAAGTAGTCAATCTAGAACCCACAAGATGACTACCAGGCACACTTACTTAATTGTAATTTGTGTCATTAGTAAGTCTGTAATGGCTCTAGAATGGAGCTTTTAGGCAAAAGGGAGCGTCTGTCTACCACTGTGAAATCACGACAAATAAAGGAACGCCAACCCCAGGTTTCATGGGACCTAGTTGCGCACCAACATAGGTACATTTGTGAAAAGGCACGATCAAGTAAGGTTTGCCAACTGGCGGATGAACGTTCACCGGTCGAATAGGGGAATCACTCGTCCCGTTCTGCCTTGGGGCTCACTCTTTAGCCCCGCCAGCGGCCACACAGTGGATGGTAGTGT